CACTGGGCACCAGAGGACCCCAAGGAAGCTTTTCTCTCAATGTGCTGATTTTCAGAGGAGCCCTCCAAGGCAGAGCCATTGCTCTTGCTTTGTGTGACACCCTTCCTCCAGGAGATGGCCCAAGAGGAAGGTGGGGATGGTGGCAGTCAGCAGACCCTGGGAGCAGGGAGGGAAGCCAGCCAACTCCAGTGGGAAGAGCTCTGAACCCCTATTTGTGCTGCTGGAGCAGTGACCCCATCCACCCTCTGCCTTTGCCTCAGTGTAAGTGCTCTGAAAGTGCCTGGGAACTGCTGGCAGAGCAGGGCCTGGGGGTGGTGGTGCTGGAATTGTGCTCATTCTGTGCTCATTCCCTCCTCAGCCCTTCCCAGGGCTGCTCTCTGCCCTTTGTTTTTCTTCATGCTGGATTTGTTCCCCATCCCTGGAGTTGTCTGAAGGAGCAGAAGGTGCTTCCAGGTTTGGAGGTGTTTCTCACCTCGGTGAAAACAAACAGGGCTGATTTGTTCCCTAAGTGCTTGTCCATGGGAGCTGCAAAGCTTTGCCTGTGTGGGAGCTGGGAATTGTGCTTTGTTTGACGTTTGATTGAGTGCTCTCCTGCTCCAGCTTCAAAGCTCTCTTTGCTTTTCCACTCCCTTTTATGTCCCATCTCTTGAAATTCCAGTCCTGCACGAAGGCACAAATCCAGGACAGCTGAAGGCTTCCAAATCCAATTATTTTCCAAAGCATTTCAATAAATTAGCAGCTCGTTCCTTTGTCAGACAGCACTTCCCTTCCCATTGACCTGTGTCTGTGCAGCCTGCCACGTGCCTTGGACCTTTCTCCTCTGGGATGTCAGCTCAGGAGGATGCAGCCAGGCCCTCTCAGCTGGGATTCAGACCTGGACTGGGACTCCAGGGAGGCTGGCACGAGCATCTGCAGATATATATATTTTTTTTAATAGCCTTTTATTTATGAAGCTACTTTGGAGTCTGGTTCCCTTGCTTTGTTCAATATTTATTGGTGCTTCACCCGTCTTGAACTGGGAGCCATAAGCACTTTGATAAATGGATTTGCCTTTCCTGGAACTGTGTCCCAACATCAGCTCATCAGCATCCTCAGCCAAAGTGCCACTCCTGTAAATCAAGGATGAGGAGAAAAACCCTGAGCAGGGCAATCCAAGCTCCAGTTCCTCTATTCCAAGGGGTTCAGTGCTTGGATAAGGGATCACTACAAGTGACTGAGCTCTCTGTTTAGTTCAGGGAGCAATTCCTTCCCAATATCCCATCTAACCCTGCCCTCTGGCAGTGGGAAGCCATTGCCCCTTGTCCTGTCACTCCAGGCCCTTGTCTAAAGTCCCTCTCCAGCTCTCCCTTAGGAGCTCCTTTAGGTCTCTCTTTCCTATCCTGTCACACGACAGGCTACAAGGAGTTGGGTGCACAAGGCACAATGTCAGTATAGGACAGAGCCTGGAAATTCCAGCTAAAGGTGAGCTGCTGTCATTGCAGGATGAACTGCAATGGGATCAAGCTAGGATTTTCCCTGAAAATGCTTCTCTGTGGTAGGGAGAGGTGGCATTTAGCAAAGGCGGTTTTGGGATCTATATTGAATGTCTTGATGTTGCTATGGAGAAGCTGGATGGAGGCCACCAGGAGAAAAGGAGGCTCAAGGGGGGACCTTCTAGCTCTCCATAACTCCTGACAGGAGGGGGCAGCTGGGGGGGGTGTCAGACTCTGCTCCAGGGAACAGGGACAGGAGGAGAGGGAGTGGCCTCAGGCTGGGCCAGGGGAGGTTTGTATTGGAGATGAGGGAAAAATTCCTTCACCAAAAGGGTGGTTAGGCACTGGACCAGGCTGGCCAGGGCCGTGGTGGAGTCCCCATCCCTGGAAATGTTGGAAAGATGTGTAGATGTGGCATTTGGGGACACAGTTTGTTAGTGGCCTTGATGGTGCTGGAGTTGGGCTCAAGGATCTTGGAGGTCTTCTGCAGCCCTGATGATTCCGTGATTCTGTGAAACACCACATGGGTGGAGAGGGACCGTGGCCCCAGGGAGATGTTCCAGGGGAGGTTCTCACTCGCCCAGGTGCTGGACACTGGGATGGGCTGGATGCCCAGGGCAAAGCCATGTGGGTGGGGGGACCAGCACTGACAAGGATCTGCATCCACAGCTGTCCCCTCTGCACAGGGAGTTTTTCTTTTAAAATAATGACCAGGAAAAAAAATCCCCATCACTTTACAAAAACGTTTCAGGCCTTCTGGATTTTTCCCTGTGACTAGGTCTAATGAGAAGAGACAGCAGAGGACTGACCAGTATCTGCTCCCTGATTTCCCTCTGTGCTGTCAGGAGATCCAAGGCTGTTACTCCTGAGCAAGGACTTAATGCAATGTGACCTGATGGCAGAGCTACATCATGGCCCTTCCTGAGGTGTGGAGAGTGGGGGGTGGGGGAGAAATAAAGCAGCAGGATAAATCGGGATTCAGGAAAAGATGTGAACCTTGGCAGCATTGCCATGGTAACGGGGGACCTGCCAGTGCCTGCTGCAGCCTGGCACAGGCAGCATGGCACTGTGGGCACTGTGGCACACTGTGATCCAGGATGGAGAGGGCTGGTGCCGTGAAGAGGCTGTGCTTTCCCTTCTGGAAGTCAGCAGAGGCCTTGGGAAGATGTTCTGAAAGCTGGTGGCAGCGTGAGGAGGGACATGAGAGTGTCCTGAGCAGGATCCAGCCTCCCGTGCATCCCCACAGTCGCAGTGCTGCTCCCAGCTCGGCTGCTGCTGGATGGAGCACACAGGCCATGAGGCAGGTTGGTTGTGCTGCTGGCAGCAGGGATTCCTCTCTGGGAAAAAACACCCAGGCTCTGGCTGTGTGTGAATTCCCCTAAAGAGTGAAACCCAGACCTTTGTACGTTGTTCATCCCAATCAAACACATTCAGTGTCCTGCAGCCTCCTCTGGACCAGCACCCACAGCCTTCTCCCTGCTCACAGCAGCTCCTGAGCATCCCAACCCCCTTTTCCCAGCTGCCTGCCTGCTCGGCTTTCCTTTGAAGGCAGGGCTAGGCACAGAAAAAGAAAACTCTGTCCCAGGGGGGCCACGCAGTGCCCCAGTTCCTGCCCTGCTGTGGCCAGGGTTTGGCTCCCACCCAGCTCCCAGGGCTTGCTCCAGCCTCTGAGTGCCTTCCTGTGGCCAAGCTGTGAGTCCAGCAGAGAGAGGGACAGAGGAACTGGCTCCCTTGGGGCAGCACCAGCGGCATGGGACATGCTTGGGTGGGGATATCTCTAGGAATGGGGGCAGCGTGGGCAGCAGGGTTGGATGGGAACGAGCTTGCTGCACCCTGAGCAAAGCTGGGAGCAGAGATTGATTAACGAGGCTGTGCTGTAATTACTGCCGGCATGTTTGCCCCCAGCCCTGCTGTGCTGTAGAGGGAGAACTTGTCCTTGCAGCCGCTGCCATCCCTCCCTGTGCAGCCATGTGAGAGGCAACCCAGACAAGAGGAGCTAAAAATAAACCTGGGTAAAAATAGTCCCACGTGTGCTTGCTTTTGAGGGGAAATGAGGGGAATTTTCATCTGAAGGAAAAGGAAAAAAATAAAAAAAGAAACTGAAATTTATTTTCCCAGCTCACCCTCTGGACAGCAGGACCTGTGTCCAGGTGGGGGAGAAGTGGATCAGTGATGTCACGGGGTCAGGACTCCATCTCAGCCTGAGCTAATCCAGAAAATATGTTAGTGCACCTCTCCCTTCTGCCTTGCTGCCTCCCTCTCCTGCAATTTCTCTTAGCAGAGGGAGTTTCTCTCCTTTCTGCTCACCTTAGCTTGCTGGTGCTTCAGCAATGCCTCAGGGCTGCCTTAACTACAAGGGAACAGAAGGATTCATCCTTATTGCAGCAATGGGGGGAAAGTGTTAATGGTATTTTGATTGAAACACAACTCCACTGAAATGTGTCTGTGCACTGGGAGTGTGGGGCTTCTCCTGGGCTGCTGGGGCTGTGAGCGGCCATCCTTTGAGAGCTTAGTCCAGGGAAAGCTGCTCCCATCCATGGCAGGATGCAGGGATGGGCAGATCCAGACCCTGCCTGACAGGGGAGACCTCCTGGAGCTCATTTGTCATAGAAACATGGAACCACAGAATGGTTTGGATTGGGAAGGACCTTAAAACTCATCTCATTCCACCCTTGCCGTGGGCAGGGACATCTTCCACTATCCCAGGTTGCTCCAAGCCCCAGTGTCCAACCTGGCCTGGGACATTTCCAGGGATCCAGGGGCAGCCACAGCTGCTCTGAGCACCTGTGCCAGGGCCTGCCCACCCTCACAGGGAGGAATTTCTTCCCAAAATTCATCGTGGCTCCTAATTGCTGCGAAAGGGTCTGAGCTCAGTAAAAGCAATTGTTTAAGCTGAAACAGAAGAAAGCAAATGGTCATTACAGCACATTCCAGGCTGGCACATGCTAGGGATGTTCTTAATCAGTGGTGGCAAGGAAAAGGAAAGGGGAATAGTAAAGCAAGACCGTGGATAGATGCAGAGGAGAAGCCCTGTCAGAGAAGATGTCCACAAAGTCTCTTCAACCACACATCCTCCAAACTGTTCCCGGGAGAGGATGGTGGTGCCAAACTCGGCTTAGCCCCTGCGCTGGCCCAAGCTGCAGCAGGATGGGATGCTTTGGTGCCAGCCTGTGGACGTGGGGTGAGGAGAGGATGGGAGCAGGCAGCCTGGATGGAAATGGAACAGCTGATGGATCTGCCGGCTGCCCTGCCGAATGGGAGGTGTGTTTGAGTTTTTGGCCAAACCTCGGTCTGCCAGGGCAAACTCACTCGAGTTTCCGGATCGGAAAGGTGCTCCCCAGCTCTGCTTTATCTCCTTGCGCAAATGAAGGAAGAGAAACGGGGAAGAGACCCTTTGATACCTTATTTCTCACCTTTTTGTGAGGATAATCCTCCTTTTCAATGCCAAACGCGGGCTCTTTTCAGTGTCGTCTTTGCTGTGTTTGCTTGGAGAGAGCACTGGCACACACTCCAGGAAATCAGCTCTTAAAGCATTTATGTAACTGGGGAGGGAGGGGGAGGTGAGTGCGCGCTGACTTTGGGGAAGTTCAGTCTACAAAAACAAACCTCACTAACTAGGCTTGGTTCTGATTAAGGAAGATAAATCTGTCAGTGAGGAGCTAAATTTACCGCGAGCGTAACCCCCTGCCCCTCGCCCCACCAGTGATGGGCAGGCTGAGTTTATTTCTGTTGGGCGAGCTCCAGAAAGCGCCGGGAGGTGAAAAACAATCCCCAGAAATGTGAAAAATGTGGAATGAAGTGGGGGCGGCAGGAGGAAAAGTGGGGGGAGCGCGGAGAGAGCGACCAATAGCAGCACGGTGGGTGCGATCCCAACTCCGCTGCTGCAATAAAAAATGCCGAGATGCTCAAAGCTGATGGGGAGCGGCTGGGAAGGGGCTCAGCCTGGAGCAAAGGAGGCTCAGGGGGGACCCTGAGGCTCTGCACAGCTCCTGCTCAGGGAACAGCGACAGGAGGAGAGGAAATGACCTCAAATGGCATCAGGGAAGGTTCAGGTTCCTTCCAATGCAAAACATCCTGCGATCCATTATCCTGAGGAGGGTGACAGCTTTGGCATGCCATCGCTGGCGGCTCATGGGCTGTAGCCATCCCTCTCTGGCCTACAGGATGCAAATGTGCTTCAGATTTGGTTCAACCCATCAACCCAAATCCCTCATTATACTGATGAATCAAATAGTCACTGTCACCCACTGCCCATGAACCAGGAGACCCCCTAAGTTCTGGGTTTAGCCCTCTAAAACCATGCTTTCATGGAAGAAGTGCCAGGAGAGGAGAAAAAACTCGCTTGCATGGTTGTTGACAAACAGAGACTTCTCACTTCCCAGTTTTTGCTCTTGAAACTGGTTGAACTGCCTGAGCCCTCCTGAGTTTTGGGGGTATCCAAGCTGAGGAAGCCATCCTGAAGCTACAAGGAAGGTTTGGCTCCAGGAGAGCCCATCACACCTTGCTGAACTGCTGCAGGACATGGTTTATGACAGCCACCGTGGCACTGTGGCATGTAAACCCCACCATTCTGGAGATTCAGCAGGAAGAGCCCCAAGGAGATGTCAAACAAACAAACAAACAAAGAACTGGGTCCTGCTGCTCCGCTGGTGTGAATGGATTGGCTGGAGCCAGGTGGATTCCTGCCAGGTGAGGCTCAGGCTCTGCTGCATCCCTGTGCTGCCCTGCTCAGCAGCCTTGGCTCTCTCTGCCAGTCTGTGCAGCAAGGACATGTTTTTATATCAGGCTTTGCAGCTGCCAAAACAAACCCAGTCTCAGATGCAGCCCCAAAACATTAACAACATTGGCATGAACTCCGGCGGCTGCATTTCCTCCCAGAGCCCGAGCTGGACCTTGATAAGCCTGATTGCTTTGTCACTCAACTCTGCCTCCTCCTTAATGAGCCTTCCCTGAAACGCCGGGGCTGCCTTCCCGGCGGAGGGAGAGCAGGGCAGCTGTGCTAGTGGCTGTCCTTGGAGAACTTTGTGCAGGGAAAGCTGCTCCCACCCATGGCAGGAGGAGAGACAGGCAGGTCCAGACCTTGCCTGCAAAGGGAGGGCTCCTGGAGCTCCTTTGTCGTAGAAACAAAGAACTACTGAATGCTTTGGGTTGGGAGGGACTTCAAAGTCCATCTCATTCTCATTCTGCCCTTGCCATAGGAAGGGACACCTCCCACTACCCCAAGCCTCAGTATCCAGTCTGGCTTTGGACACTTCCAGAGATCCAGGGACAGCCACCGCTGCTCTGGGCAGTGCCAGTAACTTACCACCCTTACAAGGGACAATTTCTTCCCAAAATCCAATTTAAGTTGCTCCCTTTCAATCTGAAGCCATTATGCAGTGTTTAAAGTCATGATACATGTACTCCCTTATTTTCCTTCTTCCCTGGCAAAACCAATTGGATTAACATGTAAAAATTATTTAAAATCCAGCCTTTGCACTGGTGTCTTCTCAGGCAAGGTCAAGAGGTGTGAAGGTGCTGCTGCTACTATTCCCTGAGTGGATGGCTCTTCATTTCCCAGATTGGCAGGACAGGGTGTGTGGTAAAACAGGGTCTCCTCACTAATCACACCAGTGCCTGCACTCCTGTGGGCTGCAAGGGCTCCTCGGGGTCAGTCCGTGGTGTCTGGGTCTCCAAGAGCAGCTCTGATGCTGAGGGCTGGACAAGGCAGCTGTCATCCAAGCTGGCTATGAGGGAACCCTACAGGAGCAGCCTCTCTTCGGGGACAGCCAATGCCCTGAGATGTCTCAAATGGCAGGGAATGAGGGGGGGCTGTGCTGCCATCCCTTGTGCCAGGGTAGTGAGGAAGCTCTGATGATTGACCCTGTCACCTTCTGCAGCCTGTGGGGTGGTTTGTGTGGTCGCCTCTCTGGAGCTGGCACGGTGCTCCACCCCGAGCATCCCTCCTGTCCCCTTCTGCCGGGTGCAGCCTGACAAACGAGCTGCTGCCACCCCGAGCAGATGTGGGGGAGAAGGGAGCCCCAGCCAGCCCGCAGCAGCCTCGGCCGCTGGCAGGGCTGTGCGGCCCCTGCCCCGGCTGCTCTCCTGCAGAGCTTGGCTCCAGCAGCACCTCCCTGATCCTTCACCAGCTCCCTGCCCCACGCCTACGCCGGGGCTTGGCCTGGGCTGCTCTGCCATCCCGGGATCTTCTCCCCCGGCAAAAGGCTGCAAAGGACAGTGTGGTGTCCCCTGGGCTCAGGGATTGTCCCAGGTATCTGCTGAGAGAGATGGGCAGGTGATTTTCCACCTCCACCCTCGTGGCATGTGGATAAAATTAGGGATGAGGGGAGACTGGAAGGGAAACAGTGCATTTTGGCAGGGATAAATGAGTATACTGAAAGGGAAAGGGAGGGAGGAGAAGCTCGGCCCTTCTCACTGCTCCCTTGCAGATGGAATAAGATGTCCAGTGTCCCCCAGTACCAAATGGTCTCAATTTGCTCCTGCGTCAGAGGGAGCTGGTTCTGCCTTGGTTGGGGCCTTGGTGGGGCCGTGAGGATGTGTTTCATAACTGCAGCTCTTGTGAGGAACAACAACAACAACCACAGCTTCAAAAACCTGTTGAAATTGTGCTATGCCCTGAACAGAAAACACATGGGAAGAGAGAAAACTCCCTGCACAGAAAAGCCAATGTAATTAGCCCTGACAGGATCTGCAGACTAGCAGCAGCAGCCGAGAGGCGGGAGGGGAGGGAAAAACAACCCAACATCATTTTATAGGCAAATGTAAATGGGTCATTAGCTGTCTTAGAACAAAATGTTCCTTCCTGGGGAAGGCAGGGGACAGGCCTGGCTGGAGGAAATGTTGCAGAAGGCCTGGCGAGGCTTCCTGTGAAAGCAGCTTTGCTGGGATGCTGGATGAAAAGGCTCTTGCTCTCACTGGAAGCAGAGCTCCTGAGATTTTTGCCTTCCAGCAGGGTTAGGGTGGCAGGACACAGGTTCCTGTGGTACCTAAAGTCAGCTCTGAGCCTCTCAAGGTCACCTTCTCCATCAGCAGAAGCATCACCCTGCTCCAGGGTCTCCGGAACAGTTCCAAGCTGAAGGTTTTCCAGCTTAGGGAAAGTCCTGTGCCAGGTGCTGCACAGTCATTGGGGAAGGCACAGAGTCCTCTCCAGGTGTGAGAGCTCAGCTGCAAGAATGAGGGCAGTGGGAAGAAGAGGAGCATTGCCTGCAGACCTTGTCCAGGATCAAATTCCACCCAAATGAGAGAATCACAGAATCGTTTGGGTTGGAAGGGAGCTCAAAGCTCATCCTGTGCCACTCCCTGCCATGGGCAGGGACACATTCCACTGTCCCAGGCTCCTCCAAGCCCCATCCAAGCTGGCCTTGGACACTTGCAGGGATCCAGGGGCAGCCACAGCTTCTCTGGGAAGCTTCCTCTGCAGAGAAGAATTTCTGCCTGAGAGAACTGAACTCCTTGCAGTCCCAAGGGTTACTCCTGAAGCTCCCTGCAGATGTTGCATTTGCCACTTTAAATTATTTTGATCCAAACCAAACAGCAAAAATTGAAAAAATTTTCCTGTTTGGGCTCCATCAGAGGTCTCAGATGATTTACAGTTTGATCCTGGCAGATGATTTCTATTATTTCCACCTTGGCTTCAGCCAGTTCAGGTCTTGGGTGACCCCTTTGAATGACCACAGACTGCAATGAGCCTTTGTGCGTGGGATGTGCTTAGCAGCAAAGGATGGGATGCGCTTGAGGGGCTGGAGCACAGCTGGCAGGGAGAGGGGTTTTGTGAGACAACAACAAACCCTTCTTTTTGATTGGAGTGTTTGTTCCTGGTCTCCCTGTGGAAGGTCTGAAAGCTCCAGTTGACTTCTTCTCCCAGAAGGGTGCAACAGCTGGATCCAGGTCACTACCTCCTGTGGACCCTCTCTTAATAAATTCTTAATTGACTCTTAATACTCTGTATGTTACTCAGCAGTGTTGTCACCAGGCTGTTTGCAAACCCCTGGCTCTGAGAACCTGTGGAGAGGGGTGGGGCAGAGCTCCCCTTTGTCATGGCCAAGGGGAAGCATCTGAAATTTAGAGTAGGGATAAAATGATCCCTCAGCATTCCTGCACAATGACAAACAGCAGAGTGGCAGATGCCAAGCCTGGGTCTCTCTGTTTGACAGGCCAGACTGGGCCAGCACAAGACCCAAATCCACAGCAGCCGGGATGAAAAGTTTCCTGGACAGCTTTGTTAGCATCCCGGCACTCAGTGAAGAACCTGGATGCTTCCTCATATCTGAAACTTTCTGGGAAATCTCCTGTGCTCCTCTATCCTTTGCCCCATTCCTGAAAGTGTCCAAGGCCAGGTTGGATGGGGTTTGGAGCAACCTGGAGTACTGGGAGGAGTTCCACCCCATGGCAGGGGGCTGGAATGTTAAGGTCCCTTCCCCAGCCTTTCTGGGAACATCAGGTTGGAGAAGAGGTGACTCAGAGCAATCTGCATTCAGGGAAATCTTGCAGTGGGGGTATTGCTGTGCTGGATGGAGAGATCCTGCTGCTGAGCTTGGAGTCCTTAATGCAGGGCTGGGAATTTATCAGGGGTCTCTGGGAATCAGGGACTGGGATCCAATGGCAGCTGGGAGGATCTGATGTATAACTCAGGTAAGGTTTGCTGTGAATGCCGGGAAACGTCCCTTTGTGTGTCCTCTGTGGAAAGGAGATCAATGTGGGCACAGAGGTGCAGCCTGCTGGGGAGTACAAGTGTACAAGTCTCAGGCAGCCTTTGAAACCTTCCTTCACCTGCTTTTCTGAGTTCTTGATGCCTGAAGATCTCATTTTGAACAGAGTGGTTTAGTTCTCCCTCAGCTCTTTCCTCACCTCTGTTTTTTGCCTGGGGCGAGGCTCTCTTGGACAGTGGACTGGGCTGCTCATTCTTCCTGTAGGTGTCCCTTGGTGAAGGCTTCATTTGAAGGCAGTGCTTCAGAGGCATCTCTGAGCTTTTAAACCCAGAGAAAACTTTCATGGCATTACTTCCCATGGGCCAGCTCTGTGTCTGGGGAATCAGAGGGAATGGCTGCACACGCTTGCAGCTGTGGGTGTTAAGAGAAGCTTCATTTTTCAAAAGCCTAGAAAAAGGGATCCTCAGAGCCACCCCCACGGAGGGTGCACGATGCACCCTCCAATTCTTCCCCTCATTTTCAGGAGGGACAAGAGCTGTGAGCTGGTTGCAAACGGCAGCACTCAGTTTCTTCTCCCCTTCTTGACACATCCAGGGACTGAGCTGCTACTTCCAGACACCATGGTGTGACAAACCCACTGTAGCCTCTTTGTACTGACTGCACCTCACTGTGAGTAAAATTCAGTTTAAAAACACAGTGGTGACGTTGTGCTCCAAGCAGGATCCTGCCCCTCCTGATCTGAAGATTAGCCTGCTGATATTTTGCTCTTGGAGGGGAGGTTTCCAGGATGCCATCCCTCTGAGCCTGCCCACATGAATCTGTGGTGTTTTGCTCTTTGGACTACAAACTTCTAGGAATTTGTAGGTGGAAATCTGACTTTTGCTGGTGTTCTCAGAGCCTGGTGCTGGTGCTGCTCCAGCTGGGTTCCTCTAGCATGGGAACCTTGAGTTTGTTAACAGCTCTAGAGTCAACTGGGGAGCAGCTATTGTTCTCAGAGCTTCTCACATATGTATCACTTCAAGGTTTCCTCCTTCCATTCAAAGTATTTGGGGATAGAGGAATGAGGGAAGCAAGCTGCCAGTGTCTAATGCATGTTTCTTGGAGCAAAATGTATTGGTTTATTTTGTTTTAAACAGCTTATTGCAAATGGGGAGCAGCTGTGGATTTTGCGATGACTTTTTTTGTTTTAGTTTTTGGAAACGTGGGGTCATCTCCCTAGTATTCCATAGCATGCTTGCTATAGACAAAAAAAAAATCTAATTTTGAAGAATTTCAAAGCAGTTCTTTAGACTTAATCAAATTCTTAATTCCCTGATCTATTAAAGCCTATTCAGTAATCAGCCTGATGAGAAGGAATGTGGAGTTTCCTCAGGGCTCCCTCTTGGCTTGCCCTTCTGAGGCTGAAATTAAGGCAGCCCACAGTCCCATGCAGCAGATCCCTGATGGGGTTTGGGTATCCGAGTCCCAGTCCCAAACACAGCATTCTCAGGCACAGGGTGGGATTCTGGGCACTGCCCTCTAAAGGGCCAGGGGTTGGACTCCATGAACCTGGTGGGTTCCTTCCACCCAGGATCTTGTGATTCTGTTAGATGGGCTGAGAGGCTCCATCCCCAGAGGCATTCCATTGTCCCAGTGTCTTGTTTGAGCCTTGAGCCACACCTGAGTGCCTGATCTGATCATCTCTTTGCATCTTCTCCAAGGAACCTGGCCAGGGAGGATTTGGGGAGATACTTAATAGTGCTGTGTTTTGGGTTTAAGCGCTTTTCTCCCTAAGAGCAGATGGAAGAATTGTTCCTGTTTGGATCTCCTGAGTGTGTTGTACAGCCTTGGTATAAGGTCGAGGAGGGAGCAGAATTTCAGGGGAAACATGAGGTCAGTGAGGCTTTGGCTCCAGCCTGACAATTAATTTCACAGAATCCCAGGGTGGTTTGTGTTGGAAGGGACCTTAAAGCTCATCCATTCCACCCCCTGCCATGGGCAGGGACACCTTCCAGTGTCCCAGGGCGCTTCAAACTGGCCTTGGGCAGTGCCAGGGATCCAGGGGCAGCCACAGCTTCTCTGGGCACCCTGTGCCAGGGCCTGCCCACCCTGCCAGGGAGCAACTCCTTCCCAATATCTATCTTTATTGCTGCCGGAGTGGCTGAGTTCCCTGTGTCTGTGTGTACAGGTGGCCCCGAGGCACATGGATTTCAGCACAGCTCCATGGATACAGACATCCCGTAACAAAGGAGCAGGCCCCGAGTGTTTTGGGGAAGGGAGATAATAATAAGCCAGTTTGGCACAGCTCTTTCCTAAGCCTGGCCAGTCAACCCTAACAATGTAAACAGCTCTTTCGGGGTGAAATGTTGCTTTTCAGTTTCACAAATCTGCTGGCTGAGCTCTCTGCCAAGGAGTGGTGTGAATGAGGTGCCCTATATTTTCTTTCTCGCCTGTCCTGCCCTTTTCCTGCAAAAAGGAGATAGCTTCTGGCTCTGCAGGGCTGGTCTGCAGCCTGGGCAGCATCAGTGGTGCTGTGCTCCGCTGTCAGAGCTGCCCTGAGCACGGAGGTGTGGGAGCCACGTCCAGAAGGCTCCTGCAAGGATCCTCCTGCAAGGATCTTCCTGCAAGGATCCTCCTGCAAGGATCCTCCGGGACTTGCGCCAGTTCTCCTGGGGAGCGGGGGGTAGGGTAGTTTCCTTCCTGGGGTTAGTGTCAGCCCTCATGAATCCTCTGCCACCTTCAGCTCTGCCTGCACTCCCCAGCTCCCGGCCCTGAAGTTTGGAAATGCCGACTTCTAACTCCTGACCTCCCACACTACTCCAATTCCAAGAAACAATGCCCTAAATGTGCTGGCAGTGACAGCTCGCTGATTCCTACAGCATGGCTTGTTAAAAGATCTAAACCTACTAATAGGAATTGGCTTGATAAAAGGGATTTTTTTTTAACCTCCTCACTTAGCGTGAGGAGGTTAGTGTACACTTAGTGTAGCACATGCAGCCCAGAGAATCTAGAAATTAAATTGGCTTTTTGTCAAGCCTCCTGTATGCAACAGCAATGGGACCCCTGCAGTGCAGTGCAGTGTTTCCAATTACATTTTGGGGTATGTTGCTAATTTTTGGCACACAGAGAGAAGCAGGCCAGGCAAATGGCAGGTGGCAGGCTGTTTTCATATTTCACTAGGAGCATGGGGGAAGGGAGAGGGGAGAAGGAGCCGAGCTCTCTGCCAGGAAATGTGACCTCGCAGAGTGTGAGCAGAAGAGTTTTGGCATGTGGTGGAGGATGGAGGGCTGGGCAGGCATGGCTGAGCCAGTTTACATCCCCTCCTGCTGGGAATACGCACGCAGGGAAGCAGGGCTAGAATAAACACGCTCCAGCAGCGACAGCCCCCAGGTCTGGATCTGGGCACCTCTGGGCCGTGTGTGGCTGCAGCCCGGCTGCTCTGTGGGACAGCGCTGTCACCGTGCTCCGCCTCTGCCGCCCCGCGCCCGCTCCTCTGCCCCCAGCACAACAACAAAACTGGCTTTGCTTCACTCATTTGTTCCCAGCACAGCTAATGCATTCAGCATGGCACCGCTCTGCAGGGCCTGGGTGGCTTCTCAGAGCTGTTGCACAATCTGGGTGTGCACTGAGGGCAGCAGCGGCCAGAAGCTGCTTCCCAGGACCTGCATCTGTCCCAGGGTGGCTTTGCCCATCAGGACAGAGGCCTAGAGGTGAGAATTCTAGGGGTCAGACCACCGAATTGTTTGGTTGGAAGGGACCTTAAAGCTCATCTTGTCCCAAACCCCTGCCATGGGCAGGGACACCTTCAACTATTCCCAGGCTGCTCCAAGCCCCAGTGTCCAGCCTGGCCTTGGACACTGCCAGGGATCCCTGGGCAGCCACAGCTGCTCTGGGCACCCTGTGCCAGGGCCTGCCCACCCTCCCAGGGAACAATCCCTTCCCAATATCTCATCTAATACTTGCCCTCCTTCAGCTCAAATCCATTTGCCCCTGTGCCCAGAAATGCTGCTGTGTGTGACAAGAGCAGTCAGAACTAGTCTGTGCTCACAGGGACCGGGGCAAAACATCCACCTCAACCCAAGGGAATGTTAGCCAGGAGAACTTTTTGGGAAAAAGCCTCAGGAGTCAGAATGGAGGCCTCTAAATGCTTAATTTACACATCAAATCCAAAAATAAAATGGTGGACACCATGAAAGAGGGTTGTGAGAGATCTTATTCCGGGTCTATCTGGAGGTGTATTTGTGCTGAAGCTTGCAGATATGGTTCTTGTAACAATTACTGAATGTTGTTCTGATTGCTAAATGTTGTCCTGATACTGAATTTTGTTCCACAGCAATGATTTCACTGGTAAAACCCAAAATCCCCTCATTTTGAAAAGACCGTAAGGTGAGACTGGAGACAGCAAACAAAATTTCCAGTAGAGTAAAACACTGGTGAGCTGGGCATGATGTCAGGAAGCCCTTTTGTAGTGCTTTTTGTAGGGGGCTGGGCATGCTGAAGGTTTATTTCAAGTTGGCTTTGCTGCTGTGTGCTGAGATCTATTGGCAGAGGTAAATGTGGAAACATTACAGTGGGAAAAGACCTCCCTCTAAGATCCTCGAGTCCAGCTAAGAACCATCATGGTGACAAAGTTAGTTCTGGCTGACAGAAGACTTTAAATCTCCTTCATTTACTCTTCCCAGTGGTGGAGGCACCCCCCCAAAAAAACCCAAAAACCCAAACATCTCTGCTCCCCCATCCCTCTGTCTGTTCAGACACTGCCATTGCATCCCATCCTCCTCCTCCTCCCCCTGCTGCTGTTTTGCCGCAGGGATGAGCCCAGATATTTTTGGCACCAGAGCTAATGTTCTTGAAATGCCTTTGAGCTGATAGCAAGCCAGCCAGTCAGGGACTTGTGAGATCCTCAGCGACCTTGTTTCAGAAGAAAATTGTCAGGGTTTCAACCTGTTAATTTGCTTTCTTGCAACCTGCCTGAAGGGCTTGGGAAGCAGGGCCCTGGTCCGCTGAAATCCTGGCAGTGTGCTTTCAGGAGGAGGTGCTGCCTGAGGACATGGGGATGGATATGAGTGCTGGGCTGTGCTGCTGCTAATGGCAGTGGGGTGAGTGCATCACTACCCCTGTGTTAAGCACTTGCTGCTCACATGGCTGAAATCAGGTGGCAGCCGTCAACCAATTTGCCATCAGACCTTCTACACTGTGATGGCTAAATCTGTGCTTGGTAGCAGCAGAGGTGCTTTTCTGACTCCACCTGAGGGATGCTGGAGGAGAAGATGGGTTTGACATTTTTAAGACATCGTCTCCTGGTGCAGTGTTGCTTTTCTCACTGAACATTTTTCCGGAGTGTGTAGCCTGGATTCTCCTTGCTTCATTGTATGGAGACACAGAATGTTTAGTGATTAGGTCTGAATTAGCCCCAGGACAAGGTGCCTCTCAACTGGAAACAGATGTGCATGATGGAAGGGAGAATGGCTTTGGGTTGAAAAGTACCTCAAAGCTCATCCTGTTCCACCCCTTGCCACAGGCAGGGACACCTTTCACTCTCCCAGGGTGCTCCAAGCTCCATCCACCTAGCCTTGGGCACTGCCAGGGATCCAGGGTGTCCTAGGTTATAATATTGGGGTGTATTCCATTACCACCTGGAGCTGCAATCCCTTTCTTTCCTTATCTCGTGGCTCAGAGATAAGTCCCTCCGGGAGGACCTGCTCTTTTAGCCATATGACTGATAAGATCACAGCGTTCTATTGTGAGATGCTCCGCCCACAGGGAGGAGCCAAACGAATGCCATCAAGGATGTAAGTGGGGTTGTACAAACAGCAAGTAAATCCCCTCTTCCAAGAGGAACAGCTGAGACCTTCTCTGCACTGGACCTCCAGAGGGAAACTCCATCAGTCTGCAGGACCACTGCTTGGACAGAACCATATCTACTACCACCGCCCCAGCCAGCGAGTGTCAGGCTGTATCTCTGACTCTGTCAGTAGTTCTTCTTTTATGCTATTGTATGTATTTGGTTCTTTGTTCCCTTTTTCCTAATAAATTGTATTTCTGACTTACAGCCTCTCACTGGTTGTGCTTTTCAAACCAGGACACAGGGTCAGCCACAGCTTCCCTGGGCAGAGATTTCCTCTCTCTGACAGTGAGCAGGATTAGGTTCTTTAAGACTGTCCACCCCAAGAAAGCCAGATCCTTATTCCTGCTGAAAGTTGTTCTAAACCCTGGAGCAAAGATGAAAAAAGAAGTTCAGTGTGCACTTATGGAAATGTGAAGAGCACTGTTAGCCCCAGCACAGCTTCAAGTGTGCCTTGGGCTGAGACACATCCTTTGTTCTCCTGCCTCCCTCCGACCTGTAGAGAGAGATCTGACACCTTGTTATCTTCTGCAAGCTGTCCCAGCTTGGTCTGTGCTCTTGGGGCCGCTGGAATTCACCCAGGGCCCTCGGAATGGGGAAGATGCTTTAAATGGGAAGCATTTAAATGCGGCTTTCAGCATCTTTATGCCCAAGCCCTTTCTATTCCTGGAACAAATCCAAATAGCCCCACTCCTCCCAAGAGCCTGTGACACGACCTTGTGGCACAGGGGAGATTGGGTTACACATTTTCCTAGGGCTCCTAATATCAATTTAAAATAAAGGCAGGGCACTTAGAAACTTCGGTAGAACCAGCTTATACCCCCCATTCCTCCTCCTTGTGAAGATCCTCGGTGTTAGGATAGGATGGAAAAATGTTTCTCACCCCTTTTCCATGGCTAGCAAACCTTTAACAATTTCGCACATCAAAGTGGAAACTGAGTAACTCCCCTACACGCAGCCTCCTTTTCTCGGTTTTGTTTTGTTGTTTGTTTTCCAAACTGGGATTGAAAGTACGAAAGCTCCAGCTCAGCTGTCTGTAAATGGTGTTCTGATGTTTATGTTGGCATTTGAACCAAAACCGTCTTCCTTGGGAACCCCAGTGAGTTGCGGAGGGGAATACACCCCTGGAATGATAAAAGCTAAGCACTTGCCCACTAATAAATTTAGGTGTTAATGCCTTGTTTTTGTGCTGTTTGGTTGCCATAGAGACGGGGCCGCCTGAACTAATGAGTTTGTCGTGTGCAGTACACATTTTCAAATGCTCCATTTCTCTTGTTACCTCTCTGCTTTTTTGTTTGTTTGTTTGTGTTTTTTGTTTTTTGGTTTTTTTTCATCCCTAGGAGCACATGAGTTTGGAAGTAAAGCCATTCCAGGGTCCCAGGAAAGGGGGCTCACTGCAGGTTTTGCAGGGCTGCTGAGAGGTGCAGGATGTGGTTTTAAAGAGATTGTTACCCTGTTCTGTACACCACAGGCCAAGGGATAACCGGGGGATTGCTCAGGGCACCTTTTAGCCCAGGACTTTGTGGCACAGGCACCCATTGCATTCCTGCACAGACAGTTTCCATTGCTGGGCCCAGGATGGACGGGATGTCTCACTGGGAGCCTCTGTTTGTGCACAGAACACTCACCGGGAGCATTTCTCCTTGGATGGACTGAAAATAAACCACCACAAATAGGTGGTTATAGTTTGGAACAATGAATTCCCTTACACCCTCAAACAGGCTGCCCCTGCATCCCTGGGAGTGTTTCAGGCCAGGCTGGACAAGGTTTGGAGCAACCTGGTCCAGTGGAAGGTGTCTCTGCCCATAGCAGGGAGGAGAATGGGAAGAGTTTTAAGGTTCTTTCCAAACCATTCCACAATTCCAACACCCTTCAATGCTACCTGGGAGCTGTCATTCAGGGAAAATCACTCCATGAATCCATGTGTACTCCTCCTGGGAATTTGGACTTGGATTCAGATCTTTTCATTCAGAGATCACTGGAAATCCTTGAGAGTTGAGGGTTTGGTTTTTGTTTGTTTTTTTTGTTTTGTTTTTGCGTGTGTGTTTGTGTCAGAACCTCCCCACTCACAGCACCAACCTGGAGTTCCCTTTAGAAAGGCCGAAAGAATAGCAAAATCCCAAAGCTCTGAACAAATATTTATTTTTCAAAGCTTAAATGCTTGGTGCCTGCCAAGCACTAAACTGAAAAGTTTGTTGCCAAAATATCCTTTTCCAAAAACCTTCTTTTAAAAGTTCCTCCTTGCAAAAGAAAGAAAAAGAGAGAGTCTTGCTCAAGCAATTTTAGAGGAATAGCTCTAAAATAAGTGGCTTTCCCAGGATCAAAGGCAGAGCCATTTTGCTGAAGGTGAGAATGGAGTGAACCATGCAAGAGGACAATTCTGGGTGCCAACAATCTTGAAGTGTGCATGTGCAGCTGGCTTTTGGTTTCCCACCTGATCCTGCTGAAATCAGTGAAAAACAGTGCTGGGTTAACAGTTGGACTCAAAGATCTTCAAAGTCTTTTCCAACCTTAATGATTCTGTGACTCCTTTGAGCTGAGGAGAGCGCCAGGATCTGTTTTAATCCCCACTGGTTACTGCAGCCCTGGCTGGTGAGGGGGGATGTGACACCCGTGGTCCAGGTGCCACAAGAAACTCCTGATGCTGCCTCTCCCTCCCTGGGATGTGAGCAAATTTATTTTGGACGCAGAGAGGAGAGGAAGACTGACTTGTCAGGAAACTTGGCTGGAGCTGTTTGAGCAAGGCTGACTGGAAAACATCTGTGTGTGCACGGAGCAGAGACTGCACCCCTGCACTGCCAGGGTGGGCTGGCAGAAAAGCCCTTTTGCCTTTATTTATTTTACGTTTTTTTTTTTTAAGAAACAGAAATACAAGACCTGATTGGCAGCCTGGGAGGAGAAATCTGAGGTACCTGAGGGCCTGGACTCATGGGAGCATCCCAAAACAAACACTCAGTCCCTCAAAATGTTTATTACCCCAACAAGTGCCAGTCCTTGTGAAGCTGGTTCAGAACAGAACTGCAGAGCAGGTGTTCAAAGGGTCAGGTGAGGAGATCAGAAGTGACCTGCACTTAAAACCCCTCCCCTTTGTTATGAATGTATAAATAAAATGATGTAAACCCAAACTGCCCAGCCACGCCAAGACCTTTGCTTGGCAAAGCTTTTGCCTTACTTTTGATGTTAGATGAACATCTAGCAAGATTAATTAAAGTTTAATTAATGTAAGTAGGGTAAATGTGGTAGGTCAGCAGGCACAGCAGATGTTAAAATACTGTTGGCAATAATCAACCTGACCAAAAAAAAAAAAAAAAGGGGAAAATTCCCTTCTTAAAAAAATAAATACCTCTAAGTGACTGGTTTAGACATGTCATCTCTCGAGGGTGGCTCTTTTTTTTTACTTTCTTTCCCCAGGCAATACTGACCAACCAGTTGAGAGCAAATCCTGTTTCTTCACATCAGTGAAAATTAAAAAAAAATCTGTTTTGTCCTTTGCTGTGCTCTGGAATTTTGCCCCAAACATTTTCTGGAGTCTGGGCATATGCCACAGGGAGATGTCTCACTGCTTTCTGCTCTTCTCTTCAGTTGATAGCTACACAGTGAGAGCTGTGGTTGCACAGCCAGCTGAGTTTATTAAAGATCTGATGATAATTTTTAAGGGCTTTCAGTGAGATTCAGCAGTACATCACCAGTCTGGCTGGCCACTATTGCTTAGGATGTCCTTGACAGCTATGGGTGATGTTTCCTGAACTTTGAAATGAAATTTGGATGTGATTTGGGTATTTTGGCATGCAGGTATCTGTGTTTATCTGTGGTAATCCCTGCTTTTTGCCCTGTTGGGTGCTGGTGGGAGCACACTGGGCCATCGAGCCCTGCGGATGAGCCCTCGACCTGTTCTGGGATGTGGTCCTGGATCAGGAATCCCACTCTGGCCACGAGGCTCTGGTAAGCCACAGCATCTTGCAGTCAGCTCCAGCAAAGATTTTCCAGCTTGTTTCTTATTTTTATCTGTCTCAATTGGATCATCTCTAAAAATAATCTGCAATGCAAGACACTGCAGTGCTGAATTCCCCAGCGGAGCGAGGGGAATGTGTCGAGAGGCTTCCTTGGATCAAAGCCCCAGAGAGGGGCCAGAAGCAAGAGCCAGGCTAAAGTTCAGGAGTATCCTTCAGATCCAGAGAGTAGCAGCACAAAAAAAGCTGCTCTTCTCCTGAGGCTTTGTTGGATATTGGAAGAAGCTGCAGGGAATGTGGAATTCCCCTTGGGATTGGATAGTGGCTGGGAAAATGGAGAGGAGCAGCAAGAATTTAGGCCAATGGTCTCAGACACAGCAGGCTCAGGCGGCTGCCCCCAGAAATCAGTTTTCACTGTGTGTCAGACAAAAATCCCATTGCCCAGAGCCTGCTCCTAGAGCCTGCTGGAGCTTCCCTGTGGAGCCGCTGGCACTGAGCACTGAAAGCCTGGAAAAATACACCAGCAAACTGCAAATGAGGGTGAATATGTGTTTTTGGTTTGTTAGAGAAGTCTCAAATGAAGGGAAATCTCAGTTCTTGGAAACAGGGAAAGAAAGATGCCGTTCTGGGCTTGGTGGAGGTCTTGTCCAAGTTTAGTGCTTCTATGATTGTATGAAATGGATGGGGGACGGGCTCTAGGCTTTTCCAAAGTGTTCCTAAACCCAAGCACAATGAGCTCCTCCTGCCAGCTGGAGCTACAGGCAGATGTATGCACTCACACAGCAGTTTCTGAGGAATGCCGATGGACAGGGAATGGTGGGGAGCGATGAGCTGACCTCTGGGGGGCTGCAAAGGCTTCAAAGCCAAATGCAGATGGGGAGATGAAGCAGAGCCACGAATGCAGTGGCTTCTGAAACAACAGGCCTGGCTCTCCCCTCGGGTCAGGGCTGCTGTGACTGCAGTGCAGGGCTCAGCATGAGCTCCCCAGAGCCACAGCAGCCACTTCATAGAGCAGGGCATGGCACCTGGCCCTCCCTCATCAGGACACTTCAGCAGACCTGGCTGGGACACTGGCCTCCATTTCTTGCCCAGGCATCACCACCTCTTTCCATTTGGCTGCGGGAACATTTAAGTATTATTATTTTTAAACAGGGCAGTCTTGACAACATAAACTGATGCATCCTTGTGGGCACATGGGCAAGCTGAGGCATTTTCTGTGAACACAGACTGCTGCTTTTTTATCGCTGCTTATTGTTGTCACCTGCCTCAATCCCTGATGGGGAGAGGGCTTTATTTTTTTCCTTTTTGAAAATGAGCTGTTTAGTCCTCTGGTTTCTAAGATTATAAGAAACTTTAAGCAAAGTTAAAGCTTTTAGGTAACATTAAACATTTGACTTTGAGCCAAGTAAACTTAGTTTTTTGAAATCTAACTTATGAATACAAACTTTCAGTTTTGGATTAGCCTAAACAATTTTTTTCTTTTTTTCCAGGTGCTTTTTCTTCTTTCGCTTTGTAAAAATGAAGGGGGAAAGCTCTGCCCTGGGGTAGTGCAGCTCCCTTTCCTGTTGTTCCATCCTGTTGTTGGGGTGAGTGTTCTAGGAAGGGAACAGAGCTGGGCAAGGCTCTGGAGCTCAGGGGATAGGACAAGAGGGAACGGCTCCAGGTTGTGCCTGGTGAGGTTTAGAGTGGAAATTGTGGGAAATGACCCCACTGGAAATTTGGTCAGGTATTGGACCAGGCTGCCCAGAGGCACCAATGCTGGAAATGTTCAAAAGGCGTGTGGATGTGGTGCTCAGAGAAATGCTTTTGTGCTCCTGAATTCACAGTTAGACTTGAAGGTCTTTCCCAACCTTAATGATTCTGTGATTCTTTTGGTTAAAAGGAAGTGGAAGCACAAATGAAAAAGGATTAATCTGCTGTTTGCAATGCTGGGCATGCTCTACTTTGGGGATAACTTTCCCATTCCCTCCTTCCCCAAATGAAAACTCAAATCTGTGCTTACTGCATTTTAGTTTAGTTTGACTTTTGCCCCAAAAAAGTGTGTTAATAAGCATTTCTTTGCAGCTAGGGAGCCACTTCCAGATGTGTTTATCCTGAATGTCCTTATCCTGTGTGCCATTTGGTCATGCTGAGCTCAAGAGGGAGCTTGCCCTGGACCCAGCTCAGAGGATACTGCTGCAGGAGCCACTGCTCTGAGCAAAGCGCTGTGAAAACATCCAGGAAACGTCTGTTCCTGCCCTAATCCCTGAAATGCGTCCCTCATAAACACAGCCAAAAAAACTGGGTGCTTTTTCTGTGCAGAGTGGAGAGAGCTGCTGTGGGAACTTTGAGAGCTTGAGTGTCTTTTGAATGTAAGTTCTCAGCACTGAAGTGCATAAATAGAGGGCTTTGCATCTCATAATTTATAATTCAGCCCAAGACATGCACTAATACCTTTATCAGAATTGGGAACGTTGCTCAAAGCACAAATCACTGAGGAACAGGCAGACATTAAGGGCTGCTGTTTCTCTCTCTGTCTGGAATAACAGCCAAGAATCAGTGAGATTTTCTCCTAAACAAATCTTTCACTGTTGTGTGTGAATAAATAAAATTTCTCTTTTTTTTTTTTTTTTTTTTTTTTTTTTTTTTTTTTTTTTTTTTTTGGGCAGGCCAGGAAGGAAAGGAAAAGCTGAAGTGCCTTAGGTGCACGGAAGCATTTTGCTCTCTTCCCTGACTTTGCTTAGTGCCACCTGTGTTTCCCCACCGCAGGGTAAGAGCAGGAGGGCTGAGGATTTGGGATAGGCAAGCCTGGAACAGGGAAGAAATTTCTTCACATCTGTCCCTGGTTGTGGGACCTCTGGTTCTGGTGGCCAGGCAGTGAAATCAGGAAGTTTGGGGAGATAAACCCACCTCATCCTGGTGGGAAGGAGATGGGAGCAGCCTGGTCTAGTTGGAAGTGGATGGCCTTTAGAGTCCCTTGCGATCCATGAGATCAGTGTTCCTGTGGCTGTGGCAGGGAAAGAGGTGGTGGAGAAGCTGTTCTGTGAGCAGCACAGGATGGTTTTGAGTATCCCCTAAAGTGCTTCAGCTCAGAGTGGAAAAGAAAAAATAACCCTCTTGGGAACGCTGATGCATTTGCCAGGGTTTCTGTAGCCACAATATACCCCAGGCAACCACCCATGGTTCATTTACAAGCCCTGGGTGGTGCAGAAAACAAGAACTGCCCTTCAGAACCCCCCTAAGGACCTTCTCCCGCAGTCCCCCGGTGCTGACACAGCCCAGCTTCACAGGCCACAGGGGAAGCTGTAAAGCTGCTGCCGTGATCCCAGGGCTGGAGCAAAGGCAGCTGGAGAGCAATGGAGAGGCTCTCAGTGACTCCAGGGTGCTGTGAAGTGGGGGCCCAGGCCATTAAACCTCCATGGGGACAGGCAAGAGGAGGGAAAATGCGTGGGAGTAGGACTGCAAGTCCTCACCGAAATTGTTTGTTCTCTTATTTTTAATCTCCAGCATCACTGGACGTGATCCCTCTGGAGGTGCTGCCAGACCACCGAGTGCTCCATCCCTGCCCTCCAGACACCCTCGTCCTGGAGGAAAGTTGGCAACTTTGGGTTTATTCCATTTTTTCACCCATGCCAAAGCCTATTTAATATCAGGTTTGCTGTGGGCTTGTTTGGGTTTGGTCCCACAAACGCCTCTGGGGCAGGTCAGTGCATCTCCCAAGCCACCCCTTGGCTGTGCCTTTGGAGTTTGCAAAATCCGATGTTGCTCTGCTTGAATATTCCTCCCTGTCTCAGTCTCAAATGGTGGGAAGCATCAGGGAATATTACTGATAAACAATAGATGTCTGGTGGAGATGCTGGTGATTTTCCTGGTACAAAAGGCTGCTGCATCCTCTGTGATAATTCCCCCTTTTTTTCCTCCTCGTTGGCTTTGTGGTTTTGTGATTTATTTGTGGGCTGGCAGGCGTCCACAGCCCTGCAGGAAATGGATGTCTGCTCTTGTACTTGGGGGGGCCATATAAATGTGTAATTTTCCCACTACATTAATTACAGACATTTCTTCCTGGCTGGAGCAGCTCCATGGTTCCTGTGCCCTTTTTGGTTTGTTCTCCCCAGCCCAGGCTGAGAGTATTTATAGGGAACCCCAGCTCTGACATCTTCAGCTGAGCGAGGGAAAGTTAAAGAACTTGGCCACAAAAACTGTAGAGGAGAAACTCAGTGGCCTTTTTTTACCTGACAGTAACTCCAGGACAGTAGCACAGCCAAGTTTTCCCTGGCTATTCCTCCTGCTGACATTTTCCTCAAGGATAAAAGTGGTTTGCCCTAAAAAAACAACCCTCTTGCTATGGAAAAGAAATTGTAGGGCAATTTACTTTGGAATAGCTGTTCTACCTAATTCCTGGCTCCTAGAGAGAGACCCAGCTGGACTTGGAGCAAAGAAAGGAAACCTGAGGCAAAATTCAGCGTGGTTGAATCAGGTTTTGTTGGAGAAAAGGCTGGACAAGCCACCGTGAGGCCCTGGCACAGGGTGCCCAGAGAAGCTGTGGCTGCCCCTGCATCCCTGGAAGTGTCCCAGGCCAGGCTGCACATTGGGGCTTGGAGCACCCTGGGATAGTGGAAGAAGGTTTCAAGGCTCTTTCAACACAAACTAGTCTGGGATTCTATGATCTGAGATAGCAGTGGAATCAAAAGTCATAATTTCCAGCAGATTGAATGTACCTATGGTGCCCCTTGGCTTATAACGTGTGTTCTCCATGGATTCCTGATGAAACAGGAATATTCTGCTGTGATTTTTCTCATTTTTATCCTGTCAGAAGTGAGAGTGAAGGATGAAGGATGTCTGCAAGGACAGAACAAAAACCTGAGCCAGCCTGGTGGCATGAAACCTGGAGGGAGGTGAGCATCTGTGATGGTGGGACATCCAGGGATGCAGAATTCTGGGATCTCTCCTCCTGTTTGGTGTCATTGCCTGGATGTGCTGCTGCTCTGGCTCTGCTGCGATGCATCTCATCCTTTTTGGGACTGGGAACGTTCCACCTACAAAGCTTCTCCCAGGAGTCCTAGCAAACCTTTGAGGTAAATCCGTCCAGATCCATATAAAATTAAGCATCTTACTGTGTTTGTCCTGCTTCATCCCCTGTAAGTCTTGAGCACCTTCCATGACCTCTCTCACATTTCACTTTCAGAGTGCAGCCCACATGTGGGCCACGAGCTCCACAGGTCAGTGTGGACTTGTGCAGGGCTGTTGTTGCATTCCTGTGGCCGATGGCAGCAGGCTGGGGCTGGGACAGAGCCGTCGGGAGCCAGGTTTCCTTGGGAAAGCACCCACCTGACCATGAGCACAGCATGGCTGGGCCTGGACATGCAGGCTGCTGTTACCTCCACACCTGGTCTGGCCTTACTGAGTGGGGGAAACTCTCCTGGTGAGAGAAGGATGTCCTGGTGAAATCTATTTCATAGAATCCCAGAATGGTTTGGGGTGGAAGGGACCTCATCCATTCCCACCCCCTGCCATGGGCAGGGACACCTTCCACTATCCCAGGGTGCTCCAAGCCCCAGTGTCCAGCCTGGCCTGGGACACTTCCAGGGATGCAGGGGCAGCCACAGCTTCTCTGTGCCAGGGACTCATTGCCCTTATACTAAAGAATTTACTTCTAAATCGTCTTCCCATGATCTGAGTTTAGGCCTCAAACACAAACATCATTAGCAGCAACAGGCTCCGTGCACTTAACTCGCTGTCCTGCTCTAAAAGCAGCAGCCCCAGCAGCAAACATCCCTCCCTCCATCCTCCTAAAGCTTAGCCAGAAGAGCTGCACCCCCTGCCATCACACTGTGGCACAGAGTGTAAATCTCATCCACTCCCTTTTCCATCTGGCCGGTTCAGGAGTTCATTCACCATTCAAGCCTTTCCTTTTGCACAGTTTTGCAAAGGCAGGGATTGATTTGGGCAGGAATTTACTGTCCTTGTCGGTGACAAGAAGGTGCTGCTGTGATGCTGACATAGCCGTCAGCTACAGAAACACCATTCAGGGCACTGCAGCGGAGAAGGGGATTCAGGGCAGGTGTAAAAGTGGGCCAGGCATGACATAAAATAGAGGAGAAGTGCTTCCAGAGGCTGGGGGAAGGTGCCAAGCAGGAGCTGTAGCAGGACATCACGGGTGGTGGAGGGAGCCAGAGAAACAGCCAGTGTTTTCTCCTCTCTGCAGTGAGCTCAAGGCCAGTGGGGGTTGGCCAGGAACTGGGTCAGGATGAAGCAAACAGAACTGAAGTCCTTCAGCGAGGGCTCTTTGCCCCTTGCCAAGCCTGTGCCAATGCTGTCAGGCTCTTCCCTGCTCCAACACGCTCCTGGCAGCCCCTCGGGGGGCTGGATGCTGCAGCAGCCTCAGCCTGGTGAGGGCACACGGGCAGAGTGGTGTTCATGGCACAGCAGCACCTTCTGGGTGCAGTGATTCCATCCCTGGGTCACAGGCTGTGCTGGCACCTCCTGTGCCCTGCCAGGGCCTTTGGCAAGCCCAGAGGCATGGCTGGTGGAGGGGAGGTAACTGGTGGAGGGGAGGTAACATCCATGTGGCCACCACAGGTGGGAGATGAGCCAGGTGAGCACCCCCAGCTCTCCCAGCCTGGTTCCCTGAGCATCCTCATGGCCTCCTCTGGACCCTGCTCTGAGGCTGCTGGTACCAACCATGAAATAGAGGAAATATTGCACTAGATTGCCCTAGGCTCCCATCAGGTCTGGCAATCTGGTTTTTCTTAAGTGGGGGGGAAGAAAAAGAAAGAACACTCACACACACACTGACTGCTACAACAAGGTGAAGTGTTTTGCTCTTGAAGAGCCCTTCCTCCTGGGAGCAGAGCAAGAGTCAAGCAGCCCCATGTCTCCTCCAGCAGGCACTCAGCCCTCCCTCTCTGTGCTCAAGGGTTCCTGGAAGCCAGAACTGCTGGGGAGAGCTCGGGCAGGGCACTGTGATCCTCCCACCCACGGAATCAGGGCTGGTGAGTAGCATCGAGGGCTGCGATCTGTCAGAGGCACACCCTCTACTCGGAGCAAGAAATGTCAAGGAGAATTAGGGAGATGACTGGAGGCTTGGGGTGCAATGGGAAGCAACTGCTGTTCCTAGGCAGGTTGTGACTACTCAGCCTTGCTAGTCAGATTTTGGGGGATGCTCAGCTGGCTCTTGCTGTAGAGAGCTCGGCGTGCGTTTTGGTGACAGGGTCTGTCTTCCAGTGGGGAAGGAGAATTCCCCTGATTCAACGCCCAGATAACTGGTTTTGTTGGTGGAATGGGGGGAAAAGGCCATTTGGGAAGCTGTGCATCACCACTCTCTGCAGGTCATTTGAAACACACAAGGCAAAGCTGAGTGCCCCCTGAGGGTGCCCAAACCCAGCCTTACCCCGGCAACCCTGCTGGCTGGGGGTGACCCTGATGGGTCACCAAGCCGTGGGCACCTGGTCACTCTGAGCCTCAGCATGTCAGTGCCAGCAGGAAACCCAACCACATCCAGCACCATCATTCCATCTTCATCCAGCTGCCTTCAGCCCTGCCATTCCCAAAGCACCTTTTTGATCCCAAGAGGTGATCAGGGATCAGTCTTCGAGCTGAGGGAAGTGGGGATCCTTCACACGAGGGAGGATTTAATTAGCAAAGGCACGTGTGATTTTATTTTTTTTTTTTCCACGTTTTGCTCCGTGGCAATTCCAGCGAGGAATAAAAGTTTACTTCCATTCCCCAGTGCTGGGGAAAGCAGCTTCCGTCAGCACTGCCTGTGCTCTTGGCTGTGCTGGATATGGCAGCTCTATTTTTAGAAGTCAGGGTTGCCATGGCAACCCAGCGTATTTTTTCTGTTAAATATAGCAGCTGTTGCAGGGAACTCTTGTCCTTCTGGATGTAAAGGCTGTGTTTCTGCCCTCTGACAGAGCTCAGGGTATTAGAGGCAGATGAGAAAGGATTATTAAATAAGTGGAAGCCCAGAAGAAACCGTGGATCTGTAATTACATGGAGGGGTTTGGGATGCAGCCGTGTGTGTCGGCAGCTTCTGCATTGAAAAATGTGTGGGAATAGGGATAGGGGAGCTTTTCCATGTGGAGCTCCATGAAAGCACCCTGCCCCTCTCTCTCCAGCTGCCCAGTCTGCCTGGCTTTGGCTATTCTGGCCTCTTCCCCTTCCAGGAGCCAGTCTGGTCCCGGCTGTGCCCCCCAGGATTTGTCTTGGCGGAGATGGGGGGGGGTGCCAAACAGGCCTTGCCAACCAAGGGGAGGAAGGAGCCTTTTTTTGGGGGAAAAAAACATTTTTATTCCTACCTGCACCTCAGGAGCCTGAAGCAGAGGTGTGTGGTGCAGGGTTTGGGCCTGGAGCTGCCTCCATCTCCTGCTGGTGATGGACATCTCAGTGGAAGCAGTGGGAGAGGTGCAGGTCCCATCTCCTGTGGGGCCGGGCCAGGGATGCGGTGTGGGAATGCTGTGGGACTGTGTTGCATCCTAAAGCAGTGACATTCCCCAGCTTTGGGGTCCAGTGGCAAGAAAACTGACTCTGCTTCTTTATTATTTAAATTTTAAAAAAATGTACCGGGTCCCTGTAAGGTGTCAACACATCTCATCAAAGAGCTGGTTTCCATCTCTAGGGAGGAGGGAGAAGGAGAGGGGTGGGGAGCACAATTGCTCGGGCCAAGGGCAATCTGTCAGCTGGGAGATGGAGATCTATTTTTTAATTAACTAGTCTTTGCCTCATTAAATGAAGAAAGAAACCAGAGCACAGCAGATATGAGCATGGCTTACGTTCACTGAAAATTTCCTTAAAAAGTTGATGCAACAACAAACAAAGAACCAAATTTAAACCAGCCTGAGTTTAAAGTGTCTGCGGAGGTCACTGTGACCAAGGCTTTGAACAGGAATAACACATTTCTGGGAGCCTTATCTGCTCCCTGAGCTATTGTGAGTGGCATCTATTGCTGGGGATGTTATTGCTTTTCTGAATTTAATAAGAGAAGCAATGCTTAAGCAAGCAGAAAGCTGCAGGGGAAGAGCAGCCTCTGTGGCCATCAGGGGCTGGAGTTCATCCCGGGCCTGGTCGCCTGCAGGGTGGTTTGGAGGGATAGGGAATTTTGAAGAGTCAGGGATTTAGGAGGATGGAGAATGGAGTCAGATGCTGCCTGTCCCCCTGGAGCTGGAGCCTGCTTGAGCATCCTCTAGCTGAGGGTATAAATACAGGGCTCATCCCTGAGGAAATGGTGCCTGTAACAAAGGAAGGAAAGGCTGCCATATTACATTTGAAGATTTCCTTGCATCCTTCAGGGAATGAGTTGTCAGGGGCTTGTGGCCCAGAAAATGAGCTGGCAGCTGGGAGGGAGATTCAGGGCAATCATTTCAGATGCTGCTTTGGTTTAAATCCAGCACGGGGTGGAGGGAGGGCAGTGGAGTGGGCACAGCTCCCAAAGGACGTGTTTGTACATGGAATGGTTTGAGTTGGAAGGGCTTTTAAAGACCATCCAGTTCCACCCCCTGCCATGGGCAAGGACACCTTCCTCTATCCCAGGGTGCTCCAAGTCCAATTAGCCACATTCCCAGTGCCAGGTAGGTGGGTCACAGGCTCCATCTTCTCTCTGTGCCCACGGGGCACCAGTCATCCCTCTGCTTCCACTCTGATGGTGCCAGAGGCAGAGTTTCCCCAGGAATGGGTATTTATTAAAACTCCTGCCTCTGCTTATAAATCCACTTCCCTGTGTGTTCAGGGTTCATAGGGGTATTTATGCTCCCTGCTTTCCCTGGTCCGATTTATGGGTTTATTGTAATCCCTCCATGGTGTGGCTGCCCTGCTCCGGGCACCATGGGGCAGGCAGAAGTCCTGGGAGGTTTTCCCTTTCTCCCTGAGTGTTGGCTGGTCCATCCCTCAGCCATTTGAAAGGACTTGTATGAGGAAGGACCATGGCAGTGTCACGCTCCACCTGGGACAGTGGAAGGGAGTTGGAACCAGATGGGATTTAAGGTCTCTCCCAACCCAAACCATTCTGGGATCCTGGGATTCTCTGATCCTGTGATCCAGCCCCAAAGCACTGAAGGCTGCAGCCAGACACAAAGTTCATCTGTGAGGATGAAGGAGGGAGCTTGGAACACCCAGTGTACCAAAGAGATGCAAGGAAGGAGTGCTGAGAGTTCCCTCCCCACAAGTGCAGAGGTAAGAGGGCACAGGATCTCAAAACCTCCAGAAATGTGTCCCAGATCCCCCCTGTCATCAGGGCTGTACCTAACTGGGAGGAACATTTTGAAGATGGATACTCCCACACACCATCCCTGCTGGAGGTACTGCAAGGGCTGCTCTGGAAGTTCTGCTCTGACATGGGGTATTTTCAATATCATTTTTTTTCCTGGGGAACATGTGAATATCAGAGGAATCTTTGTTTGCTGTACCCTGGAAGCTGACAGGTCTGCTCTCCCCTTTCCAGGCTCAGCCTGTATCAGTCCTCAGTGTGTTTGCCAGTCCCTCCTAAGCACCTTCTGCAGCAGTAGCATATTTGGGGAAATTCTCTGAGAGAGGAGTGTCTATGGTAGTGCTGATTCAAGGGGAAAGTCCATACTTTCTGTGAGAGAATTTCTGGGCACCAAGAAAACAGGGAGCAAGTCCAGGCTGTGGATTCTCCATCCCTGGCAGTGTCTAAAGCCACGTTGGATGGGGTTGGAACCACCTGGGATAATGGAAGGTGTCCCTCCCCATGGCAGGGGGTGGAACAAGATGGTGTCTTAATATCCTTTCCAACCTAAACTATTCCATGATTTTATGATTTCCAGTTAGTCCCAAAGGTGTCCACATAGGAATGTGGCAGGATCTGAGGAAGCAGGAGGATGAGTTTCCTGTAGGATTGTATCCCTGTTGGCTTTCAACCCACCCTAAACCCCAGGCATGGAGACCCTGTTATCAGTTGTGCTGGTGCCTCCAGCTTAATTAGGAGTTTCAATTATTTTTATTTTTTAGTTTTAGTCCCCCCAAACCCTTCCCCGAGTTCCTTCTAGGGGGAGATTCAGGAAAAACATGTTTGCCTTTGCTGCGGTGTGAGCAACCCCACCACCCCAGAAAGTGCAGGGGGCACTGCGGGAGCCAAATGCCAAAACCTCTCCTCCAACCCAGAGCTCCTCCAAGGCAGCTGCACCTCCAGGAGCAGCTGGAGCAGAGGCAAGGCCAGATGAGATGATGCCATAAGGTTTATTTCATGTTCCTTCCTCCCTTGAGGGGCAGCGGCTCCAAACGCCTGCAAGGGCTGGACAGCTCCGGGAAGGATGAAATGTCCCCAAGAAATGGCCGAAGGAGGGTGTTTTTCAGGAGCTGGAAACGCTCTGCTGAAAAGGATGATAAACCCAGGGGGTGTTGGACACGCACAGATTTGGCCAAGGATAGGTGCTACCCCTGGATGGTTTGTTGGGAAGTTCAGGATGGATGTGGATAACAGCATCTCCCTTCCCTGCAGAGAGTTTTCCATGTTCAAACCAAAACCTGTTGTTTTGTTGGGGTGTTGAAGATTTTTCTAGGGTTTTGGGCGGCAAGGGAGTTGTTTCTGAAGGAGGTTTTTATTTTTGAGGGGGTTTTGGGGTGGGGTTTGATTTCATTTTGCACTTGTTTGGGTTGTTTCTGAAGGAGGTTTTTATTTTTGAGGGGGTTTTGGGGTGGGGTTTGATTTCATTTTGCACTTGTTTGTTTCTAGGGTTTTTGGGTTTGTGTTTTGATTTGGGGTGGGTTTTGGGCAGTTAGGTTTTTTGTTTCTTTTTTTTGGGTTTTTTTTTGAGGGTGGGTTTGTTTGGAGATATTTTTGGGGGATTTTTTTTTTGGAGGTGTTGGCTTTTAAATTTTATTTTTTGGGGAGAGTTGGGTTTCTTAGGGGGTTGTCTGTTTTTTATTTGGGGTTTTTTTGGGGTTTTTTGGGTTTTTTTGCTTGTTTCTTGCGAGTACTGTATTTTGACGGGGCTAGAGTTTTGGGTGTTTTTTGTAGGGGAAGAGTTGGGGTTTTTAAAATTCTTTGTTTTGGTTGGTTGGTTTAGGTTTGTTTTTCTCCTGATGAATACCGGGATGAAGCACTGCCCCTTCAGGAAGTGGGGTTTGGCAGGGATGCAGTGATGAGATATCTCACCCCTTCTCCCTGTGCCTCCAGAGGTCTGTCCTTGCTGTATCCTTCCCCCACTGCTCTGTGTTGGCTCCATGTGTAAAGGGTTTGGGAGAGGAGGATATCAGGCAGAGGTAATTATTAACTCTAATTATAACTGTGAGAGTGACCCTATTTAGGCTGGATTGTAAAGGCCCCCAAAACCATCCACATTATTTCCCTTTTCCTCCCTGGAATTCAGATCAAGTACCCCTTTCTGTGGTCAGGATATGCCTCCTCTGTGCCATCTTTGGAATTCCAGGTGCTGTTTGAAGTCCTCCACTCCCTCATCCCTGCACACCCTGTACATGGGGGACACGGAGAATGCTCAGGACACGCACAGAAACCTCTGCCAGGGCGGGATGTGCCTGATCCATTTCGTTTCTGGCAGTAGTGGGAGAAAAGGGATCTCCGAAATCTATAAATCGACTGTCTCTCAAATTGTGTGGGATTAAGGAAAAGGTGCAGAATAGAAATTGTTTCCTCGGGGGGGAAGCACATAATTTCATTTTCCCAGGAAAATTATGTCTTCATCAGTTGTCTTCCAGAGACTCTAAAAAGAATTAAAGGAGGGCTCAGAGTGTGCAATTATTGTGGAATTTTGGAATCTCACACTGGTTTGGGTGGGAAGGGACTTCAAAGCCCATCCCATTCCACCTGCTGCCACAGGCAGGGACACCTTCCACTGTCCCAGGCTGCTCCAAGCCCCAGTGTCCAGCCTGGCCTGGGACACTTCCAGGGATCCAGGGTCATCAATGACCGAGTTGGCTTCTCTGGGGTCAACGTGGGTGGAAAAAAGGTCCCAGCTCTTCACTGCCATGAAGGGATCTTTTATTTATCAAAAAAGCCATGTGATGTGCATTTCTCCAGTGCCTTCACTCAGATGTCACATGGAAATTGAATCTATTGGGCAGCTTTGGGCTGCAGCCAGTTCATTACAGCAAGCTTTCATCCAATTATCATTACTGTTATTATTGTTATTATGATGCCTCCTGCTCTGTTGTAAATTGGAGGGTTTTCCTGGGACTCTTGTTGGACTTTTTTGAGTTGTCTCAAAACTGGATGGCAAATTTCTGTGAGCTCTGAAACGAGGCCGACCTGGCGATGTCCAACAGCAGGATTTGGCCAAATCTCCAGCGCCATGGAGAAATAAGGGTGACCATCTTCCTCCACCCTGGTGCTGACCCTCCCACCTGTCATTATTTCTTCCATGCCTGACTTCACTCTCAACTCCAATGATTTTTCCTGTAAAACCCCAAAACTCTAATTTGAAGAGTGAGAGAGGGGAAGGTCCAGCCATCCAGCAAAGCTGCAACAAGCTAGCGCTAAATTGAGCTCTAATTGCTCATTTAAACAAATTAATTCATCAAACCAGAGGAATTTCAAAAGGGTGCTTAGGTGCCTTGCCCTCCCTTCTCCCAGGCACACAGGCAGGGGGTGGAGAGCTCCAGAACCACTTTTGGTGCAGCCTCCTCCGAGGTGCTAATGGCAATTCCCAGGTCTGGGAGCATCCCTTTCCCCCCAGCTGGTGGAAAAGAAGCGTGTTCAGCGCTGCAGGGTTTGGGCTCCAGGAGAGAGTAAACATCCCTGGTGCTGACATGGCAATAAAACCGGTGTGTCTGCAGGAGAGGAGTCAGCAGCAGATGCGCCCCTGCAAAACTGCTCGCTGTGATGAATGCTCTGCCCAGAGTCTGCTAATCCCT